GCATGTGGTGCTGGGGATTGAACCGTGGTCCCTGTGCTTTGCTAAGCTTGTTCTAAGTAGGTGCTTTAGACCACTGAGCCATCTCACCAGCCCCGCTCTGTTTTTTTAAGTACTGGGAAGTGAAACCAGGGCTTTCTCACTGAGCTATGTCCCTGGGCCTTTTGAAATTTTTAGCTATTCAGACAGAGTCTCAATAAGTCGCTTAATTGCTCATACTGGTCCCAAACTTCTAATCATCCTGTCTCAGCTTCCCAGAGTACTGGGATTACTGGCATCTGCTATGATGCCCCGTTGGCCCCACCTCTTAAGAACCCCTGCAGCAAGTCATTGGCCCCTGAATGATGACATACAACACAAGTAGAAGCTACCTGCTACCTCCTGGGATTTCTGTGAAGGTTCAATAATGCCTCCTTCTGCAGAGTGCCCACTCGCCAGTGCCCCCAGGCTGGCTGTGCCTGGCGCCTATACCCCTGTCCTTTCCCAGAGAATGGGAACCGCTACGAGGGTGGCTGGGAGAGAGGCCGGAAGCACGGGCCCGGGCGCTTCTTCCACCTGGACCGGGGCCAGCTCTTCCAGGGCTTCTGGGTGGAGGGTGTGGCCAAGTGTGGCGCCATGACCGACTTTGGCCGTGAAGAGGCCCCCATGCCCACCCAGTTTCCCATCCCTAAGGTGGGTGATACTCCGGGGGTCTGGGGCACAGGCAGAGAGGGATGGAGCGCGGGAGAGGCCAGGGCCCCTCTGCCAAGCTGGGACTAGTCCCCAGCACGTCCCTCTCTGCCCGCTGCAGCTTAAGCTTCTGGACCCTGACGCTGTGCTCCAGGACGCCCTGGCTGTATTCTCTCGGACACAGGAGGAGAAGGAGGAGGAGCAGGAGGAGGGGTGCTGACGCCGGGTGAGGTGAGGCGGCTCCAGGGCCCAAGTGACACGCTGGTCTTCCAGGGTCTGGGGACAGGGCAGAGAGGACTGGGTTATTTTTGTCTTTTGAGATAGGGGGTCACTGTGTGGTTCAGGCTGGCCTCCAGCTCTGTGCACCTCCATCCTCAGCCTCCCAAGTGCTGGGATTATAGGCATGCACCACCATGCTGGGCTTGAGGTCCCACCTCCTGGATCTGAGGTGCTCCTTTCTGCCTCCGGTGTTGCCCACATCTGGGCCTCCAGGCTGGGCTCTGGGCTGGTCTCAGCTTGGGGACAAGGTGGGGGCCCCACATCACCCAACTGTTGGCCCAGGTCCTGCCACAGCCCCCTGTGGGGGGTGGGGGTGAGGCCTGGAGCAGAGGGGAGGGTGGCAGAGAGGGCACTGGCCCAGGTCTTTCAGATGTCCCACTCCCCCGCAGGAGAGACCTCACCACCTAACTGCGGACCAGCTGCTCAGGCCACCTCTCTGGGCGAGCCTTGCCCCATGCACCTCACTTCACAGCACTGGGTGCTCTCCCCAACAGAGAGGACAGTACTTCTCTCCCCAGCTGGCCTTGGGGACCCTCCTGTCACAGCCTTTGCCCCGAGCATGCGGTAAATAATAAAGAAGCCCATGGCTTCGCCTGGCCTGTGGTATGAAGAAGGGAGGAGGCAGAAGGGGAGCAGAGGTCAAGTGAGAACACTATGGTGGGCCCTGGGGGTCACCTGGGGGGTAGAGGGGGCTGCAGTCCCTGACCAGAGTCACCCAGGTAGGAGCCACTGGCTTGTACCCTAATACAGGATTTCCCACTCACAGATCCTGTGGAACCCTTAAAAGCTGTGATGGCTGGGTGTGGTGTGCATGCTTGGAATCCCAGCCCTGGGGAGGCTGAGGCAGGAGGATCACCCGAGAGTTAGAGGCCAACCTGGACTACCCAGTGATTTCAAGGCTAACCTGGGCTATAGAGCCAGACTCTGTCTCAAAAACAAAAACAAACAAAAAACCTAAATGAATGGATGAATAAATAAATAAATGACTGTGAAGGGAGCTAGGTGTTAGAATGCTAACATTAGTATGCACGGCGCTTGCCTGGCAAGTGCAAAGGCCTGAGTTCAATCCCTGGTTCCACCAAAAAAAAAAAAAAAAAGTAGTATGCATGCTGCCCTGGTACCTGCAGTACCGCACAAAACAAAAACAGGCTATGGATGTCTAGGTCCCATGCCCAGGGATACCTGTCCATTCCCTAGGGAATCCCGACATACAGCTGAGTCCAAAACTTCAACTAATGGGCCATGTGACCCTCAGCAAGTGGCCTCAGTTGCTCATTTGTAAAATGGAATTACGAAGTCTTTTAGAAGTAGGGGAAGTGTAGCTGGGGGTGGTGGTACACATCTGTAATCCCAACAGCCTGGGAAGCTGAGGCAGGAGGACTGTAAGTTCCACTCCAGCCTGGGCAACTCAGCAACTTAGCAAGACCCTGTCTCTAAATAAAGAAAAATTGGGGCTGGTGAGATGGCTCAGTGGTCTAAAGCACCTACTTAGAACAAGCTTAGCAAGGCACAGGGACCGCGGTTCGATCTCCCAGCACCACATGCCAGCCAGCCCCGCCCCCTGGTGGGCTGAGCTGGCCACACACACACACACACACACACACACACA